CATAATTAATCGACGTGTACGTGTTTACCGTTTCCATACATGGAAATGGTAAAAAGATGGTAGAAAATGCGTGTGAGTTAAAAACATGAATACTCTGTTTTCTGATTTGAATATTTATCAAAGTTACATTATGCTGGTGTACATTATTCAGCAAATATTTTATTTATATATAAACTCTGCAAGCCCAGCTTACCATCGTCACAAATGCACTTTTAGGTTTATTTTATCCATGTACGAAATTGCTGCTTATATCTGTAGGAGTATAAGAGTGTCAATAAGTTATTAAGAAAGATTAGAAAATCTGTACTCCATAACTATGCGATTTTCATTTATCTCCCGATCGGGATATACGATTTTTTTTTAGAAAATGACAATTGATACTTTATTATACATTGTCTTAAATCGGCGCCACTTATTGCTTGATGTATATTTAGTGCAGCAACATTTGGTTTTTCCAGATATATGTAATATAAGGAAAGGTACCGGCTTATATATATTTATACTTTCTATCATCATTTTTTTGACTCGTATTGGCGACTGAGACAAATAATTATTCGCGAGAATAATAAACTAACGAGAAAATAGGCCTGCGCATATGCACGTTTAACAAGTGTGGTACCGAATTGCAAATGATAGACAAATAATATAGACACAAATTATTTTACCGAAAGGCGAATTCTTTCATAGTGGTAACTGTCAGTATTCCAATTCTACAGGCACAAAACTATTCGTAAATCTTATTTACTTACTTTGTATTCTTATACCGAGGCCAGCAACACACGAGTCGATTTATGCTCGAGTATTAATTGCAAAAGTATTTATAGGATAAAAATTTGCTTGGACAACTATCGCGTATTTTTTTTCACAATTCAAGTTCCATAATTCAAATGTCGCGTAACAATAAGTAAAGTTACATCAATATAATACAGATTGCTCATTAGCACGGTTGACCCCTTTCGTTTTTTTTTATTTATTTTTTTTATGCTAATCAGACATATCAGTTAAGGAAAAAACTCAAAGTTTGTACCACGTATTTATATAAATTATACAGAAACCGGCTCGTAATCCACACGCCGCTCTACTCACATAGTCGCCTGTTCATCAATGCGATAATCGAACACTCTGGTAGTCTGTAGTGTAGGTAAGTCACATACAGACTACACTGTGCAATGGCACAATTTTTATAATACAAGCAAAAAATTACTAATCATTAGTATTTATAAGTCATAAATCAACTGCCAACAC